TTTTTTCCTTTATGTATCTTTGCTTTATTTGAGTTTTGTGTGTCGTGTTTTCATGAGTTAGGCTTTATTTTAGGCCCTCTCATGCAACATTTCTATATTTTTTTTCCGTATTAAAATATTTGCCTTTGGGCTTTAAATATATATATATATATATATATATTGATGATATGATTTTTTACACTTCAAAGTATATGAATGTGAATGAAATGAAGTTGAATGAATTATGTATGTTTGTGTCAATTTAGTTAGATTAATTCATCTCCCACTTGGTCCGATTATGTTATTCAGGACAAGTGCTAATGAGAATTTAGTTTGATCGAATCGTCCGATTTGTTACACCGCAATTGGCCCTAAATGGGGGAGGGTCAATTGGGGTGTGACATTATAGGCTTCTACATTTGCATCTCTTGTAATTGACGATTAACAACAATGATTTATGGGTTGGAGTCACCATAGTTGAAGGACTTGGACAATTTAATGATTGGTTCGAGGTTATCGCTAAAGAATGCATCACTGCTCAAATCGAAATTGGTGGCAATTGTTTAGAATATGGAGGATGTTCATATTGGTTCTATGATGGAGATCAGTGGCAAATGGCAATGAGATTGGAATAGTAGGGAGCTTAGAAGCAGAAGAGCGAGAAGTGATTATAGTTTCTTTTAAACAGAGAGGATGGGAGAGACATAGTATAATGAGGTCTTGAGTCAATTATTTGTGGAGGTTGCCGCTCAATATGGAGAGGTGATCGTGGCTTTTGGCTATTGTGTTTGAATTTGAGTGGGAGATAGGAATATGTGACCGGCAAGCAGAACAGAGCAGCAGGCAGAGGAGTTAGAGAGGGATAGAGCTATATTTTACTCTGGAAAATAGTGTCTATGGGTTTAGTTTAAGTTTTTTTTACTTCTATTCTCTCTTATACTCACTCTTTCTTTCTCTTTCTCGCATGTACATATCGAACGGACGAAACACTACCTTAAACACACAAATTTATGGGATTGGAATATATTTTTTTTTTATAAAAAGCCCAAGGGTTGATATATTAAAGAGAAAAGATACAGATAGGTTGTATGAGTGGCACAAAAATAGGTACCCAACCCACACAGTACAACACACACAAAAAATCAAAATGAGTACATATAAAAATATGAAAAACTCAAAACCACCAGGGCTCTAAGGGTCATCCCAATTTCTAACTGAGAAAAAAAATGTGTTGTTTTCCCACTTTTCTTACTTGCATTCTTAACAAAGGGGCAGTCATCTGTATCATCACGAAAATCCTTATAACTTGAGGGGAAGACAACTGCCGACTCCCCTTGAGTATTACACACCACGTGGGCAAAGGAGGCTTTGACAGGTTCAAACGAAGATGGAAGCGCCATGAGAGTAGGAAATCCACCTGTTAGAGGATCTCAAAGGATGTTGTCGGCGAAGAACAGATTCAGCGTCGAACAGAAAGAAGCAAGCCCGAACCGAAATTGTTGGACAGGGAAGCTGCGTCGAATGGTGCGGCTAGTCTTCGTCCCCGAAATCGAAGCGAACGACTGGACTCAAAGAGACGCAGACGAACGACTGGACTCAAGTCGAGCAGACGCGAACGCATCGTCGTAGAGACGCAGACGAACCGTCGGCGTCGAAGACGAGTCGTCGAAACAGAAAAGCACGGAAGCAGACGAGGAATTCTTCGAGACATAGTCAATGGCGACGTAAATCTCCATTCAAAACATTCGAAACCCTAGCAGAGCTCTCGTTGGCCATTCGAAAAATATACATGGGATTGGAATATATATATATATATGGGATTGTAATAAATATATTAAGCAAATGGCCATTCGAAAAATATACATGGGATTGGAATATATGTATATGGGATCGTAATAAATATATTAAGCAAACTAAGCAAATGTTGAACTTATTTAAATTAATTTTAATTTATTATTATAATAATGATTTTTTGAAGTGTGTCATTTCTTGCAAAATTTGATAATTGCGCACTTTGAATTTTGTGTTATCTCTATATTCTTGAATTTGTCTCATACGATGTCCTAAGCAATGATGGTCTCTTTTACGTGTGTTTTAAATATTTTGGATGCATCATCCTAGTCCTTTTTTGCTAAATGGTTCACGATTACATGCATTTTTTGTAGTTAAGGCGTTTCAAGTAAAATTTGTGTAACATTTTTTATTGAATCATTTGCATTGCCCTTCTATAGATAGTTTTGATAAGCTGGATTTACTGGTGCAGTCTGCTTTATAAAATGGGTGACAAATTTGCATTTTCAATGTGGACAATGTATTTTGAGGTTAACCTGTGTGATATTGTGTTCGTTGTTCACCATTTTTCATTATGATTAAGTGAATTCCGCCATTCATTTTGTGAATTGGGGATGATTGAGCATTTTCTTATTGAATACTGTTTCAAGTTGGACTTACATGACACCACATCCATTGCTCACCCTTTTCATCATATTGAGCTGAGGTTTCCGTACTAGAGCTTTCTTGGTAATTTTGAATGCGTGAACATAATTTGTTTTATTAAATTGGCGTTGATTGAATAGTTTTGGTTGCAATCAAGATATGATGAGTTTGTTTTTTACAAATTTTCATCCATTATCCTTCTTCAAAATCATATTTAATTGTAATTTTTTGTGGGGTGGGTATTGACGTCAACAAAGATCTTATATTTATGTATCTTTGATATACCAATGAAACTAGTCTAGCAATGTCTTAAGGATTGTCAGCCGTAATGCCTAGGGGCTGAATATTAACCATGCATTGCCTTTTCTCAAGTATCTCAATCAATTTGGGATCAAAGGTTTTTTCCATTATTTATATCGATTCAAGTACTAGTTAAAACAATTTGTAACAATTTCCCTGATCGGCTCAAAGGCATAAAAGAAGATCAATTATTGTACCGAGAGATTAGACATGCCTGACAAGAGTTCAAAATTATTCTATGATACTATCAATCAAGTTTTAAAATTGTTTCTCTCGTTGGGCATTTCTGAGGTTTTCTGTGTTCCTTCTACATTTTTTCCTTATTCTGAAATTTAACATAAATTTAGAGTGTGATTAAATTTTATTAATTGGATAAAAACTATTTGTAAAGAAGTGTGTGGGTTTCAGATTATTTTTGTAGCTTTCTCATATTTTAGTCTCAAAATATTTTTTTTTGTAAATGTCATTAATTTCTTTTCTAAATTGAATTTCTTTCTTATCTTTAGTTTTTTATCAACAGTAGTGAATAATTGGTAAAAGCTACGAGTTTGTGACCTATGAATTTTGTGTGTTGTGTGATATTTTTGCTAATCTGCCTAGAAATTCTTATTCTTATAACATCATGATCCACCCTGATAGAGTTTTTTAATGTATAATTGAAAGGAGAAATTGTCAGAGCCAATACACACCCTGTGGATCACTTAGAAGGAGGGCACAAACTCATCCTAAGGGCGAACCTGCCCAAAATGACACATGAGTGAACTCTTCCGTCCTAAGGGAGAAATTTCCCAAAAGGACTCAGATGTGAACTTGCCAATCAGATTCATGAGCGATGAATTTGCGCGAACTTTCTGGTTCTGTGAGAACATACAATGTCTGGTTCAGGCCTGACTCTCCAACATGGCTTAAGGACTCCCAACAGAGTTCAAGGCATCTACCCATCGAGACTGGGTAGACTTACATGGCAACTAAAGTGGAATTTTCACCAGGTTCAAGGAATAGCTTATCCAAAGCCATCACCAAACTCACTGGGTTTATCCAACGGAAGCAGTTGTCTCCATTTGAAGGCTCTACTATGCCCACCAGGGAGGCCTAGTGACTCTTTTTACGACCGACTACTAGCTGAGTCTGAGTCCACATTCAGTGAATTATCCTAATTTTCTATATTATATTATATTTATCACATTTGAAGTCATTTTATAGCTCTTCCTGTGGTGTTCACCCAAGACCGTGCTTAAAAATAGGGAATTTTGGGAAAGCCAAAGACTCTAGCCTTTCTGGTATTTGGATCTATAATTCACTCTAATACACCTTGTTTATATCTCGTCTACCCTTTCTTGAGCAAGTTTAATGCATTTTCCTTCTTTGTTTATATCTCGTCTACCCTTTCTTAATTCATTTGGGCTAGTAAATTTTTTGTATAATTCTCAGACAAATCCTAATCTAATATCCATTTGGGAGCCAGTGATGTTTTTACACGACTGACTTCTAGTCTAAGCCCGAATCCTAATCTAATATCCATTTGGGAGCCAGTGATGCCTTTACACGACTGACTTCTAGTCTAAGCCCGTGTACTCAGAGCACTTAACCTTTATATCTTTTCTATTTATCATATGTACAGAATATTCTGTAGTTATTTTTGGCAGATTCGAGATCTCAGATCCTTGTTTATAAATAGGAGAAAAGGAAATCTTGGAGTGCCGTGATTTTGCTCCCGTACACTGTATTCTTGAGCTAGTTTGGTGGACTTCCCTTTTATGTTCACATGTTTTTTTTCAGCCCTTCACATTTTGTTTTGGTTTAATAAGGTTCTAGTATAACTTACAAACAGACTAGGATCCAACCGCCAAGGGAGGCATTCTATTGGGTTCTTATCAAGTTAGCCTTTTATTGTATAGAGTGGTAACGAACACAATGCATTTATCTCTGAGTAGATTTTTATTGTTTATGGCTAAGAGTTGTTACGCTCAGTTTTCAAGTAAACAATAAAATTTTACATATCGTATGAAAGGCTCCAAGTGAATAAATAATCATAAAACAAGCGTATTAATCAAACTTTATTCAAATAGCATTCTTCACAGTATTTTTTTTCTCTCATCTTAAATTGGTGCCGATTATTGTTCACGTTGAATTGATATAAGAAATCAATTTTATTAGAGGTTTTCTATGCATGATTTACAGAAACATATATGAGGAATCTATGGAATTTGACTAACTTGTTAATTTGCTTTTTCTTGTGGGATATTTGTTATTTTCCTTATTTGAATTATGTGGAATTATGTTAGCTGGATAAGGGCATACGTTCTGAGATAGTTCATTCCATACTCTCGGAGCGCGCAAATTGGCCTTTTATGGCTGCACAATCAGCAATTGATGTAAGTAGTTTCTTTATAATGCTTCTATATTCTTATCTTTAAAAAATTTCATATCAGTATGTCCTTTCCAATCATGTTTGCTACATTGTTAACAAATTAATAAATAAGTGATGTTGGAAATCTTCTATTTGTTGAAGAAAGTTGCGAGTTCTATGCCTATCTCATATAGGTAACACTGCTACAGTATAAGGTTGTGATTATATAATTTTCCAACCATGTAATCTTCAATCTTTCCCAGCAATAACAAGGAGTGAAAACTTGAATAAATGAAATAATTGCTCATATTTTTCCACCTCAACTTCAAATTTACTGGCAATAAAAAGTTGGTTTTTTCCTTTTCTCTCAAACATTATTTTCTTTTTACAGAAGTAAATTTTATATCCAGGCAATTTTCTTTTTAGCTGGAAAACGATTGCTAGACTCTTCCAATTAAAAAGATGGGTGATGAATGAAGTTATAGAGAAACAGACTCAAAGATGCAAAGAGAAGCTCCTTGGAATTAACCAGAATATTTATGTCCGCAGTAATCATAGCATTGATATCTTTTATTTTTGGGAAAAGAGATCCAAATTGATGATATTAAGCTAAAATAATCTATCATCAATTTTCCCATTCTTGAAGCAAGCATTTTTTTTTTCCGTCCTCAAAATGTATCAAATAGCAACTTAGAAGGTGCCCGATAAACCTTTATAATCATCCTTTATGTTTTTACGTCTCCAAATATCAAAGGCAATTGTATCTATCAAGTTTAGTATTAAGCTCAAAACTTTATAAAATTATTCTTTAAATATAATCACTAGCTCAACTTGATACCATACTCGGGCTCTTAGAAGGTGTTTATAAAACTGTTTTGATGGGGGGGTGGTTATCGAATATCGAGGGAAGAAAATATGCAAAGTTGATAGTGTTAACAGGATAGATGTTGCTCAGCAGCTGTCCCAACTGTAAATAGCGAGAAAAATCATTGAACAGTGAGGTACGAGCAGCGAAGAAATTCACCCCTTTATTACTGCACAAGCTGCACACACCTGCAAAAGGAATACGATATAATACTCCATAGGTAGAAATCAAAGTATATAATGTCCATAAAACTCGAACAAAATCAAAAGTCTAAAAAATAGGAAATAGTAATATATAAATAGTTTTATAGAAGAAACTCTAATTAAAATTAGAGAAAATAGGAAAGAAATCAAAAAGAAAATAAATGTAAAAATTGGAAGTCGGGGGTCTAGTTCCACTCTCCACGATCATCAGACACCCTAAATTTGTAATATTACTGTTTTGGATCGGGGATTTCACGAATCTTTAGTATTCTACGATCAGGTTCATAGAATTGCTCAATCCCTAGCTTCCACGTCATTTACCTTGCATGGCTTTTCTCTCACTATTCCACAGCCACCCATCTGTCAAATCCGCTTCCCAAATACCTTCTAGGAGCTCTAGAATAGTATCATCTGGTATCAGGTATTAATCAGGAGTAAATGAAATTGGGCAAAATTAAGGGTTTCTTTCTTTGAGTTGTTGCATTAAATTCCTCATTTTAATTGCTCAGATTCTTTTTGTTTAGTTGAATATTTAGATTAGGAATATGTATTAATAAACTACTTAAAATAGATTATACATTTTATTATGTACCTAAAATAGATTGTACAGACTATTATTTATTGCAATGAAAGCAAAGGAAAAAGACATTCAACCTATTTACTCAAAACATTGACACGGTATCAGAGCCATGTCAAATGTTCTGGCCCGAATCTTCGGTGTCTTCAAAGCTAGTCTTTGAAATCGATCTTCCGTTTTCTGACTCGGAGCTACTTCATCTTCGCTGACACCTTTGACTGCGTCTTCGACTGCAAATCGAAGAAGAGTCTAGTCCGCTCGACTTCTCGCACAGCTCGTCTACTTTGCCGACAATCTCTCCTGGACCTCTCGCTCCGTCTGCTTTGCCTGGATAACACTTCTCTTGGACTTCTCTCCTAGACATCTCACTTCGGACATCTCACTTCGTCTGCTTGTTTTGCTCGCCTGGTCTTCTCTCTTCATTTGGGCTATTCTCTCTATCGGGCTATTCTCTCTTCTGGATTGCTTCGATTGCTTCGTTTTTAATTTTTTCATTTGTTCATCTGTTTCTCGCTGCAGGCAGGACTCAACACGATGTGATCTCTCCGGGCTATTCTCTCTTCTGGATTGCTTCGATTGCTTTGTTTTTAATTTTTTCATTTGTTCATCTGTTTCTCCCTGCAGGCAGGACTCAGCACGATTTGATCTCTTCTGCCCAAATAGCGCACGATCTTGCTCCCACTCAAATAGCGCACGATCTTGCTCCCACTAAAATAGCGCACGATCTTGCTCCCACTAAAATAGCGAACAATCCTTCTCTGTTCACGTCAACCTGCCTACTCAAGTCCTTGACAATCTTTATTGTTCGTACACTGCTACAGTCACTATTTAAAATATCTTCAGAAATCTTAGCTATCAGATTCACTAGAAAGAATTATGTCGCATGAGAATTTCAGCTCAAGATGCTTTTGAAAGGGGAGTTTTAGGGTCATATTGATGGGTTATCTCCAGCACCTATAGAGCTGAAAGATCTTGGTTAATGGGAGGCAAAATATGTTTGGATTGTTTCTTGGATTTTGGGATCTATTGATGCTCATATGGTGAATAATTTACGATCTTTTGAGACACCTAAAGAAATGTGGGAATACTTGAAGCGCGTCTACAATCAAAATAGTATTGCAAGACGTTTTCAATTGAAACTTGATATGAGTAATTATAGTCAAGGTAATCTCTCAATTGAGCATTATTTTTAAATTTATGGAACGAATATTCTGGTATTATCTATGCTAAGGTATCAAAGGACAACAAGGTATTAAAGGACAACTTACCTAGTCTTCAGGCTATTCATGAAGTGAGTCGTCGCGATCAGTTTTTTATAAAACTCAAACTTGAATTGGAAGCTGCTCGGGTTGGGTTGTTGAATAGAGATCTGGTTCCTTGTTTAGATGTATGTTTCAGTGAATTACTGCGCGAGGAATAGAGATTGGCCTAGAGCATTGTATGCTTCTCTTTTAAAGACCAACATTCAGCGCCATAGAGCATTACAGGTCTCACTACCGTCTTATTTTTCCTTTCAATTTAAGTGGTACTTTTCTATCACACAAAAGACCTGAAGCATTCCTCCACTTCAACCAACCAACTTGAATTCCACTATTAACATCCCCATCTATATCACCATCGCTTTGAAAAACAGACCCGAGATATCTAAATAGTTCACACCTTTTAATAATTTGATCATCCAAAGTGTACTATACTAAAATTACATTCCATGTATTCAGTTTTAGTTCTACTCAAATGAAGGCCTTTAAACTCCAATGTAGACCTAAGTTTTTCCTGGGCTTTTTCTCTCGTCTTATCCACGAGAAGGATATCATCAGCAAAAAGCATACACCAAGGTACATCCTCCTGTAAATGTTCAGAAAGACCATCCATAACTAAAGAAAAAAGAAATGGGCTTAAAGCCGATCCTTGATGTATTGGCCAATCCTCCTTCAGTTCGAACACAAGTAACAACTCTATCATACAAATCTTTAATGACTTAAATATAAGTCATATCAACACATTTCTTCTCAATAGGTCTCCAAAGGATATCTCTTGGAACCTTATCGTAAGCTTTTTCTAAATCAATAAAAATCAAATGTAGATTCTTCTTATTATCTCTAAACTTCTCCATCAAATCTCTTAATAAATGTATAGCTTCCATAATAGACTTGCCCGACATAAATCCACATTGATTATGAGAAATCATTGTAATACATCTTAACCTATGTTCAATTACCCTCTCCCATAATTTTAAAGTATGACACATCAACTTAATTCCTCTATAATTTGCACACTCTTGTGCATCCCCTTTAATTAAATAATGTAAATTTAATTCTTAAATAATGTAAAGTTAATAGCTAAGCAAAAATTTTTAATATAAAAACTCGTCTTTATTATAAGCATCAGTTTTAGAATATACAACATCAAGAAAATTCAAATAAAAAATTAATTGACATCGAAGTGAGTACTCATTTCTTTTAATCTATAGTAAAATTTTGTTTCTTCTCGACTATTTTGTAATAGTAGTTAATGATATTTTTACAAGCGTTATTTGGTTTATATGTTATTTTTTTTATTAGTCAAATTGTTATGAATCTTATATATTATTTTCTTTATTAGTTACATTGTGATGAACACATGAATGATGTCTATTTTGACTGCTTGTATGTGCATGATTAATTATGGTTGAGTCAGTTATTTATGATTAATTAATTGACATCGAGGTGAGTACTCATTTCTTTTAATCCATAGTAATATTTTGTTTCTTCTCGACTATTTTGTAATAGTAGTTAATGATATTTGTACAAGCTTTATTTGGTTTATATGTTATTTTTTTATTAGTCAAATTGTTATGAATCTTATATATTACTTTCCTTATTAGTCACGTTGTGATGAACACATGAATGATGTCTATTTTGACTGTTTTTATGTGCATGATTAATTATGATTAAGTCGGTTATTTATGATACTAGTGAGGGAACGTTAAGGCGCCCGAGCACGTAATTGAAAAAGGGTACTGATAATGAAGTACCTTAATTGATATAATGTTTAGACGTTGCTCTTGTGACGGTTGTGCAGATATAAAATAATATAGATATGCTATTGATATAGTAGATTTATTAAATAACATCATATTTTTAAAATATCAGATGTTTATATTAATTTATTAAAAACTTAACTAGCCTATATATTATTTTGTTTTTCTTGTATTAATGTAGTTTAGGAGTTTGAATATTCACTGGGCTTTGGTTAACTCATTTTTGTTTTAAACTAACTTTTCAATTATTTTTAATTTATTAAAAGAAGAGCAATATAATAGACTATTTATAGAAGACATGAACAACCTGAAATCAGATAAATTTAATTATACTGTTTTAATTCAGTTTGATTGTGACTTTTTCATTTATTAATAGTTAGTTATAAAAATAAATATGAAAAATTTTAATTTCCAATGTCTGTTCATCTGTACCTTTCTTGGTTAGTTTTAAGCCTTGGACCGGGTTGTAACAAGAATAATACTGGAATTCGACTTCTTCTTTTTCCAAGTGAAGAGAAGGGATTTATTTATAGCCCCTAGGGGAGTGACATTTTGTTTTGGCGAATAACTTCCATAACCACACGATTGAATTACTCATATTGATTCAACTTGATCGTATGATTTTTTTTTTTATGATTGAAAGGCTTTAATGCCTCGAAATTTTGTGATCTTGGGCTCATTAGATTCCTCTCATTGAGACACTTGATTTGACTATAGGCATGTGAAATTTGGAGTTCGTTTGACCCTCCATTTAACTACTTAAATTCTCCAAATATGGTTTAGTGGCTTGATTCGGGCTTGATCGAACTCGGATTGGACTAATTTTGGTATCATTTGATTCCTCTTGCTGAGACGGTCAGTGTAACTATATGCTTTCTAAAATCAGATCTCTACATGATATTTAATTTGGATTGGAATGTTTTTTGCTAAAAAATTTTTTAGGGATTTGTGCCAAATGATAAAATTTGTTGATGACACATCTACCATGCAATCATCCTAGACTTCTTCCAACTATTTGGGACTGGTGATAAAAAAAATAACGGTCAGTGTAACTATATGCTTTCTAAAATCAGATCTCTACATGATATTTAATTTGGATTGGAATGTTTTTTGCTAAAAAAATTTTTAGGGATTTGTGCCAAATGATAAAATTTGTTGATGACACATCTATCATGCAATCATCTATTTGGGACTGGTGATAAAAAAAATTCTTCGTATGTTTGAAGAAATTCAAAGGATTTCAATGTAGCTTGTGTTAAGTGCATTTCGTGTTCTTGATTATCACTATTAAATGCAGATGGAAGAATTTTCCAAAAGTGACCTTTTCCACGAAGTGATTGAGGTGTATTCACGACCAACTAGGATTATTCGTGGAAAGAGTTTTGATGCTGATTTGGAGGTAATCGCAATTTTCATACATCATTCATACTATTTATTTTCAGTTTGTGATACCTTCAAGAAAAACAGATTCATTTACTTTAAATATTGCAGCAGAGAAAAGTTAGTCATTACGTCATAATTTTTGTCCGTCTTTTATTCCTGAATATCCATTTTAAGGGGCTTTGATCTCTGGTGCAATCCTTTTTTTAAGCTATTGGATTGCACTGGAAAGAAAACATAAGTGTGCTATGTGCGCTTCTCTCTTCATTCTGACATTAAATATTAGGATTTATATATTTGCATATGTATCACTTAAAACATTAAAACAAAATAAAAAGTAACACCTACCCTAGCATTTTCTTTCTTTAGGAAACTCAATCCTTGTCGGCCTTTTCCTAATTTGAGTCGGTCTTGTTTTCTAATTATATTTAGCCTTTTTCTTGATCCTCGTTAGTTGTTGTGCCTAATCTTCATCGACCTCTTTGTGTGATCCTAACTGACCTTTTAACCTAATTCTGGTCGATATCCTTATTGAACATCTGGTGAGATTCGGAAATAGAGTGCTAGATGATATAAATGCTGAAGTATAGGTGATAAATATGTTAAATCCTAATGTATTCAGTGCTAAGTAAATAAATTTCCGTAAAAAGGAAAAACTTCAATCTAACCTATAAACCCTTTTCACCCAATTTCTTACAAGCTTGTCGTCTTCTTGATTTTTATAACACCCAATTCTGACTAAAACATGTAAGTTGGGTTTATTTTGCAATATGCCCTATTTTTTTGTATTTCCCTGATTCTTCTGAACTAATTGTATAAAATTATATTTTGTTCCAATTTATTTAATATATTAAAGTGTATAAAAATTAACATATTTGATGTTATAAATTCTGTTAATATAATTTATTAGAATATTTTTTAATTACACTTATTTTCCACTAAATCGCCGTTTGAAAATTTAAACCACCATAGCTTATCCACTAAGCATGGCATGCAACGATGGGATGAAAGTATAGTGCAGGGATTAATTTAAGTTAATTTATGTTACACACATATGATTAAGAACATTTATATCCCTTTAATCCTCTTTAATTTTTTCTTGTACTATGGTTTGGGCATTTCGCGACTAGTGCGGGGCCAAACGGGCATAGGTGCAACGATTGGAGCTTGAAGCTCGGTTACGTCCTTGGGACTAGAATAAAATAAAGCTTTATGCATGAAAGTTTGAGAGGTAAGTTATATAATTTGGTATGTATGTATGTATATGTATATGTATATCGGAATGTCGTAGAACATTTATATCCCTTTAATCCTCTGTTTCTTCGTCTCTCTGCTTCCATATCCTCCCATATTCTCCTTCGTCGGCTCACGCTACAGTGTTTCTTACTGTGCTTTCGTCTGTTTTGTTTGTTTCGACGTTGAAAGTTTTCGCAGCTTACGTGATTCTATCGGGACGTTGTAGCAGGCGACACTGACAGCTTCAGATCTCTGCACCTTCGCCTCTCCCTGCTTCCGCGATTATATCGGGACATCGTAGCAGGTGGATATCCCTGCTCTGATGGCGCTCCCTGCTTCAGTTGAACCTGACAAAGCCTTCTTTGCCCATGTGATGGGTAATCTTCAGGTGGAGTCCGCAGTTATCTTCACCACAACCTATAAGAGTTGTCGTGATGGTATAGGTGATTGCCCTTTTGTTAATAAGACAAGTCGGAAATGTGGGAAAACAATACTATTTTTCTCTGATTTAGAAATTTCAACCCTGACAGAAAAAATGTCTCTGATTTAGAAATTTCAACCCTGACAGAAAAAAAGCAAGTTCGCTCTTATTGAAAAATTTCAATGGGGGCACCCACCTATGAAAGTTATCATAAAGAGTTTTGATGATCTCAAACTAGTAGGAAAGTGGAAAGTGTGACTCTTTGATGGGAGATAAAGTGAGACTCTTTGATGGGAGATATGTGTTGATTTAGTTAACCATGGCTGAAGACTACGCTCGAATATTCTCCAAAAAATATCTTAATATTACAGGAGAGCCAATGAAGTTTCTCAAGTGGCCTCCCGATTTTCTTTCCTGATTTTGACCCAAATCATGAATCTCTCACTGTACCGGTATGGTTTAGTTTACCTGGTCTCAAGCTGCACTTTTTTAATCATCAGTTAACCATGATTTAGGTTACCTGGTATCAATCTAACCAGGCCTTCTGTGGCCAGAGTACTTATGAAAATAGATATTGCTTTACCTGATATTATTGAAGTCTGGCTAGGCATAACTCATAATAGATATTGACAATAAATTTTCATGAAACATAAACTGTTTTATTGTACCCATTGTAAGATGTTTAGGTATACCCTTGATAAATATCACAGACTCCATAATTTGAAATCTAAAACTCAAGTGAATAAGGATGAGTCTAACCTCGTTGCTCTGGACACATCTGCTCAACCTGTGAAGGAAATTACCACAAGACAGGAGTTGGGGTCTAATTTAATTACCCCTGTGGATCCCCTTCCTGCCAATACTATTTTTGTTTCTGCGATTGATATGATGTTGGATGGCTATGCTGGGCAACCTACACCTTCAAACCTTATTGAAAAAAATATTAAAGGATCCTTACTTATAAAGCATAGTGTTTGGACCGATAATTATGAGAACCTTGCAGCTCCCCATCTTTGGGAAGTATCCGGTGCAGAGGCGACAACTCATACTTCACATATACTAGAACCTATTGTGGTTACAACGATTGGCAATCCTTCTACTACAGTTCTACCACCTCATACGAATGATCAATCTTCGGATGAGGAATAACAGGTTTACACGTCCAGGAGAAAGAAGAAAAATGGTTACCTACTTGAGCTCAGGATTCTAAAGGATAATACTTTGGTTACTTCGGGTAATGGTACACACCTCACCAATTTGTTAGCTGGCTCTCTTCCGAGAACTAGAGGCAGAGACAGGACTAAATTGGGTCGTCCCTAACTTTATTCGTGCCTTGTCGTTTTAATTTTTTGTTCTTAGATGTACCGTCTCTTTTTTTTTAGAAATTTATGTGTGGTGTACCGTATTGGTTTGGTGCCTACTTTTGGACCCACTCATGCAACCTATCTGTATTTTTTTCTCTTGAATATATTAGCCCTTGGGCTTATATATATATATACGGCGGGTAGCTCTGCTAGGGTTTCGCCCGATGGTGATTCCTTGTGTTGAATCCTTCGGCTTCACTCCATTTGCTTCGTCTTTGCAGTTTCTGGCAGAGCCTTTCTCGAACGTCACCATCCTCTTCCTGACGTAGTCTCTCGTTACCCTGATACGTGGCGGTTTGCGTCATTTGCAGTCTCTGGTCGTGGTTTTCTTACATGCAGACTTTGCATGTCGAGATGGCCTCTAGGCTCCGTGCCGACGATAACCCCGCTCGCACCCCTATTTCATGTATATTCCCATAGCAATACCACGATATTTTAGTATCGGGCATTTACACCGGATTGCTAAAAAAAAATATTCCGTAAAAATGGTAAACCTGCAATCTCTCTCTGAGGTCGAGTTCTCCACCTTAGCTTCATCCTGCCGGTTGGTCTTAGTAGGTAAGTTCCTCTATGGAAACCCCAAACTCCAGTTAATTCGAAAAGATTTTGAGCAAATGCGGCTGAAAGGAGAATGGAAAATTGGTAAACTGTACGGTAGGCATATTCTTATACAATTATCAGATGACGAATACTTCGTCTATTTGTTTGCGAGAAGACTCGTTCGAATAGATAACTGTGTGATGAAAGTTTTAAAATTGAAGGTTGATTTTGACCCTTTCACTGAACCTCCTACCATTCATGTATGGCTGCGCTTCCCGGGTCTGAAGTTTCATCTCTTCAATCACGAGCTCCTCTACTTCTTAGCTATGGTTTACGGTAAACCCCTCAAAATAGATATTCCTACAGTTAATCCGAGTCGGTCTTCTGAAGCCAGAGTTTTAATTGAACGGGACATTACTTTACCTTTTCTGGAGGAGATCTGGATTGGCTCACAACACCAGGGTTTTTGGCAGCGGGTGGAACTAGAACAGATCCCACTTTACTGTACCCACTGCCGTATGTTTGGACACTCTCACTCTCAATGTCATCATTTGCTCCCTCATTTAAAGCCTCAAAGTAAAAATGTTACTAGGCTCTCTGCCCCAACTCACACCTGTCTCTCCTCCACCCCTGAGTGCAATCTGGCTATTGAAAATTTGGTTGAAACGCTGTTAGCTCTCCCTCCCACTACAGGAGACCACCCTCCCCTGACAATACTATTTTTGTTTTTGTGTTTGCGTGTTGCCGGATGGTTCAAATGGGCTACCTACAGCTTCAATCCTTTTTGAAAATAATAGTGAAGAACCTTTACTTACAAAGGACAATGTTCTGTCCGATAATCAGGAGAGCTTTGAAGCTCCTCATCTTCAGAAAACATTAGGTGCAGAGGAGACAATTCATACTTCACATACCCTAGAACCTATCATTATTACAAAGGTTGGCAATCTTTCTACTGCGACTCTACCACCTCATCAGAACGAGCAAGTTTTTACTGTTAATCAGACGCAAGGGGCTCATCAGCTTATATATGCTCGACAATCTGTCGACCAACACACTGCTAACCTTCGGATGATGAATGACAGATTTACACATCCAGGAAGAAGAAGACGAATGACGGCCTATTCGAGCTCAGGAACTTAATAGATGATACATTGGTTACTTCGGGTAAAACACGAAACTCAAAAATTTGTTGGCTGATTTCTTTCTTAGAACTAGAGGCAGAGGCGTGACTAAATTGGGTCGTAGCTTAGTTGGCTTCCTTCCTAGAACTTGCGGAAGAGGCATGACTAAATTAGGTCGTAGCTTAGCTGGCTTCCTTCCTAGAACTAGAGGCAGAGGCATGACTAAATTGGGTCGTAGCTTAGCTGGCTTCCTTCCTAGAACTAGAGGCAGAGGCATGACTAAATTGGGTCGTAGCTTAGCTGGCTTCCTTCCTAGAACTAGAGGCAGAGGCATGAC